GAATAGAAGTCAGAAGCCAGCATGCAAGAATGCCAGTTAATTAAAATGCAAGTTAAGGCAATCAGTGGGTAAGAAACAGATGGTTCGTAGGGAAGGGAAACGTAGACCTGGTGATAAGATGTAGCTGATAACTAATAGAGAGGCTATCTGGGGTATCAGATGCTATGTGCCATAAGGCCAATGTCTATATTTAGTCCATTATTTTTTGTATTCAGTTGGCTGATGAAGTGAAGTTCATAGGCTCGTCTGTGAAAGGTATTTTGTAAATTCCTTTTGAGAATGTGAGGTATATTACATGAGAAATATTGATGGTTCTGTTATGAGGTATAGTTATTATGGGGGTGGTGAAGAATTTTTTCAACTATTTTAGTTGTCTAATCAAAAATATCGGATTTACCCAAAGAACATTGTCTGCCTATGAAATGATACAAGTTTGGAATTCTACAGAAAAGGATTAAGAAAAATAGATGCATATCTCTACTACCTCCACAATAACTACACCCCACAACATAACCATCAACATTCCTGAGTCTTACATCTGCACCTCCAGAAATGTAATATATCTCATCCAGTGCACTAAATGCCCTAATGAAAAATAGGTAAGAGAAACCAAACAACAAACAACTGCGTACCAAGATAAAGGCACACTGAAAATCTATCAGAAACAAGAATGCCCTATTACCTGTGGGGACACATTTCTCACAAGACAACCACTCTGTCCAATCTCTCAGTTCTAACCCTCAAAGGGAATTTACAAAACACCTTTTGCAGACGAGTCTATGAACTTCCCTTCATCAACCTACTGGATACAAAGCATCATGGACTAAATATAGACATTGGATTTATGGCACATTATAACCTGCCTGACATCTGATACCTCAGATATAGCCTCTCTTCTGTTTACTAGCTATATCGTATCACCAAGATTACATTCCCTTCCCCCCCCCCCAACCTGTTTCTCACTCATTGACCCCCTTAATTTGCATTTTCACTGACTGGCAGTCTTGCATACTGGTCTCTGGCTTCTGTTCTAGTCAACCCATTCATGAAGAGCACAGAACAACTGCAGATGCTTCCTCAGCCTGAAGAAGGGTGTTTGTACCTGAAAGCTTGCAAAGAAGAATTTTTCCAACTATTTTAGTTGTTCTAATAAAAGTTACCGGATTTACCCAAAGACCCTTGTCTGCCTATGCCCTTAGAGCAACACAGCTACAAGCAGTACCCCTGAAACATGGAAGATTTCATATCATAATCACTTTCAGCCAAATTGCCTTCCACCTTCAGATTCTCAGCAAATTCTTTCCTGTTAATCGTAATCAAATTTAAGATGGCCACCCTTCTAATAACTTTCTTGACCTTGTGAAACGAAAACTTTCCACAACACATTCCAGTAACTTGTTGTTGGTCTGTGTTCTGCTATATTGCTATCGGGTCCTGTTCTTTACGTGTTTCTATTAGATGCTCCACAAACGCCTCCTATCATGGGATTGTCTTAATTCTTTCCCCTTTTTATCTTTACTCGGAGACAAGTCTGCCTCTCACTTCCATCTTCCTGATATTAAGAATAGTACCTTTCCCCTTTTTCCTTTCTATATCAACATCCCAGTCCTACAGTTTATCCCATCAAGTCTTTGTAATGCCAGTCAACTTGCAGTTTGTGCATTAAGACTTCAAGATTTTTCCTGTTTATTCCCCATAGTCTTGCCATTTTGTATAGATGTAGTTCAACAGCAGTCCTATTATTTTCCTTTTGTTTCTTAAAAGTCTATCTCTGTTTCCCATTTCACCCACAGCCCTTGCACCAGGTCACTACTTTTATTTTACTGACTCGTTTTCGAGAGCCAGTCCCACAAACCTAATTTAAGCCCTGATTTTGAACATCAGGTGCTCCAAGGTGAGGGAGGGGCACTTCAATTAGAACAGCTTCTGGAAAGCTGCTCTAATTAAAACACCACAGCATCACATGTATTCAGTGTTCCTTGTTTCCAAATGTCCATGGGGGTGCTTTAACTAAAGTTCATTTGACAAGTTTTAGTTAAAGCACCCTTGCCACCATTTTGAAATGCAGGACACTGAATATACATGATGGTGAGGCATGCTGGAGCGTTCTAATTAAAATAATCCAACAAACTCAATTAATTGACTCTGCTGCAACAAGTTCTAAATAGAATGTGTTGGAGCACAAACATAGGCACCCTCGGTGTCCTAGAACAGGGGTTCCCAAAGATTTTATGCCGTGGCCTGACAAACCACGGTCCAGCAGTCACAGCTGACCGCAGCCAGAATTTCTGGCCAGCAGACAGGTAAGGATACCCCCACCCACCAAACCCTGCGCTGCCACAGGCCCTGCAGAAAGAGCCACAGCCTCTCTGCCCAGCTCAAGGGGGCCACGGTTTGCTGGTCTGTGGCCACTTCCTGTCTGGCAGCCAACTACGCTGTGGGCCGGCACCAGGCTGCAGCCCAGGGATTGAAAACCCCCTTGTCCTAGAATGTTTAGGTTTTTTTCCCCTCTTCTTTATCGAATAGGCCCCTGGCACTTAAGATGTGATTAACCAGTTAATCATGTCACAAGTAGTTTCATAGTTTAATAGTTTCTAGGGTTGGAAGGGACCTGAGCAGATCATCTAGTCCAACCCCCTGCCATGGCAGGAAGAGCACTGGGGTCAAATGACCCCAATAAGATGGTCATCCAACCTCCTCTTAAAAACCCCCAGGGTGGGAGCCTGCACCACCTCACATGGAAGCTGGTTCCAGACCCTAGCC